AGTGACAGAGCTGATGTGGTGCCTCATCCCGAGCTGCACGTTGGGAATGGCTAAAGGAGGCTCAGGAATGCCGGGAGTTCTTCCCAGGAGTTTACAGAACATTTATGGAGTCATTATGGAGTCTAAGATCCCCAACTCCAGCCATTTGTCTGTAACTGCCCTGGAATTACTCATTATTCCCTTTGGATCCAAACCATCAGAGACAATTTTAGCATTTCTGACTCTCTCATGTGAACCCCTGATGTTTTCCAGACTTGATGCGGGATGATCCCATATCAGACAGCCCTCACGAGCTCCCTTTGCTCCGCTCCATCCTGAACATGAAGAGCTGTTTTCCATGGAAATCCGAGCCCGGAATCGATGAGCATTGAGCGGCTCCTCGGGAGCTGGCCGTGCTCCAGCGGCTCTGCTGGGGCGGAATTCGGGCTGGATGCAAGGGGAGGTTGATTCTGGAGCCTTGCAGAGCTCGGCGTTTTTACTGTGGCAGGAAGTGAGGTCAGGCCCAGCCTCTGTGGATGGGAATTGTTTGCTGGAAGGGCAGTCCTGGAGATTTTCTGTTTTTCCTAGAATCTTTTGTAGGGTAAGAGTGTCCCTGGAAAAATGTTGCCTTCTTTTGAATATGGGAACACAACCATGTTGCATGAGATTATTGAATTACTCCAATACACATCTCAGGGTCCATTTTTACAATATGGATTTGGTTTATTTAGTTTAAAATACGTTTTATTGTGAAAAATTGCTGTATTTCAGCTTTTTAGATGTTGAATAATCTTTGAAAACAAAAGCTTAAGCTATTTAACTTAGAAATGTGTTACCCACTATCACTTCTTCCAGCTTCAGGTTTGTTGCTGAGATGATTAATGCCAATTATTTTATTTTTTTGTGGCTCTGTGGGCTGAATTCATCCCTCAGCTCAGCCCAGGTTTGGGAATGACCTTTAGCTGATGTGTAATAGAAACCACTGCAAAAAAATGAATCAGGCCAGAAGTACCCTTGCAAAATGTAACCTTTCTTAAATTTAATCTTTGTAATTCCAGACTGAGTCAAAAATCTCCAGAACAGGGTGACAAAGCTGTAGAGACACCTCTACAAGTTCTGCTATTGATTGGTATTTAATGAGTCACTAAACTTCAGTTTAATCCTATAAATTACAAAATTTGCCCGGTCTTTAATGCTTCCAGATGGGATTTTTCTTGCTTATTTTTAGTCTAGAATTTAAGATTTAGTGTATTAGCTCATCTTTAATGTCAGTGCAGCCTGTGAATTCCCAGGACTGTACTTTTTTCCTTGGGTCTTTTTTTTTTTTTCCCCTGACCATTTGAATAGTTCCTGGGGATGATAAATCCCTCACTGCCAAGAACAAACCACGGCAAAAGCAGTTTGAGCTGCTCTTCCTGAGATTTGCTGGAATAAAGTGGCTTCAGGGACCAAGCAGCTCTTTGATGCAGTTCTCCTGGTGGGTGGGTCCATGAACAGCCCCCCAGCTGGATTTTCCTCTCCAAGCTGACTTGGTTTGGGGTAAATCCAAGGGTTTAGAGGAAGCCTGGAATCACTGACAGAGTTTTAGGGATGATGTGAAACTTGGGAACTCGGGAGTGTTGGTGGAGGAGAGGCTGGCCATGTCCTGGCCCCCAGAACCCTGTGATTCCAGGGCTCGCTCCCAGCATGGGCAGGAGGAAGGGGGGGAATTCTGCCCCGCTCAGGTGAGACCCCACCTGGTCCATCCCTGGGCTCCCAGCACAGCAAGGACCTGGAGCTGCTCTGAGAGTCCAGAGGAGGCCACGGAGCTGCTCCAAGGGCTGGAGTCCCTCTGGAGCCAGGCTGGGAGAGCTGGGGGTGCTCACCTGGAGAAGAGAAGGCTCCAGGGCAACCTCAGAGCCCCTTGCAGTGCCTGAAGGGGCTCCAGGAAAGCTGGAGAGAGACTTGGGAAAAGGGATGGAGGGACAGGATGAGAGGAATGGCTTCCCACTGACAGGATGAGATGGGATATTGGGAAGGAATTCCTGTCTGTGAGGGTGGCAGGGCCCTGGCACAGTGTGCCCAGAGAAGTTGTGTCAGCCCCTGGATCCCTGGAAGTGTCCAGGGCTGGGTTGAATGGGATAGGGGCTAGGGGAGGGTGTCTCTGCCCATGGCAGCGGGTGGCACTGGATGGGCTTTAAGGTCCCTTTTAACCCAAGCCATGCTGGATTCCCTGGTGCCTGAGTGTAGGAGTGTGGGTGGAGGTGGGTTCAGAATCCCAGAATCTCCTCTCTGCACCATCCTCCACCTTTCCCTCAGGAGCAGCCTTGCCCTGCAGGGAGGGCCGAGCAGGACTGGATTCCCTGCTCCAGCCCCACCGTGGGAGGGTGTTGGGAAATGGCTTTTCAAGATAGAGCTCTGTCTTTGTTTTGTTTTGCAGGAAATTGTGCTGAGTATGTAATAACTTTTTAGGAATTCTCTTTTTATTTACCCAGGTACCACCTACTTCCTCAAGTGGAATGGAGACTTTGGGGAGGTGAATCTGTGGATATATTTCCCTGGAAAACTTTTACCTGTTGAAGTGGGGAGGGGTTGAGTCCCACATTCATTGACCGTGTTCCCTTGGAGGGCAGGGTGTTTTTGTTGCTCTTATCAGTGTTTTCAAGGAATGAAACAGTGCTCAAAACCCAAAATAACTTGTTTTTTTCCAATTTGTCAGGACATCCCTCTTTATCATCAGTATTCTGCCACTTGCAGCCACCCCAGCCCAGCTGCACAGGGAAATCTCAACATTCTGATCCAGATGAAACTGCCCCAAACCTCTTCAGATGTTTTTGTTCCTGTCAATACTTCTGTTTTCTCTGACCATATGGCCATTGCTTCTAAGGCACAAAATTGGCTATTTTTGGAGTTTTATCATTAACAGTTTAAACTAAATTATTTCCTGATACTCCAAATATTAAATTCTTCCTCATAGAAATGAAATTACAACACTAAGCAAGCAGAAAATGTGTGGAGGTGTCCATGTAAATTAAATCCTCTGTTTAATTAGAAGATGAAGGGTTCTAAAAACCCTGGGGATGTTTGGGCTCTGCTCTATATTTTGTCTTAAAGAGAGAATTAAATTCAGCCAAGGCAGGGGATGAGCAGAGAAACTCTGAAAGTTTATTTAAAGTTGCAGAAGATGAGCAGAAAAACTCTGAAGCTTTATTTGAAGTTGCAGAGGATAATCGGAGAAACTCTGAACCTTTATTTAAAGTTGCAGGTGCCTTTGGGCCCTGTTTCAGAACATGTTTTTCTGCAGCTGCTTGTGAATTTCAATACAGATGGAGTTGCCTTTTGGTAAAGGGGTTTCCCCTTTATTTTAAGTACTAATTTCTGTTTTCTTTGAGATTCAAGAATTCCATATGCATATATAAAATAAAGAATTTTCGTATTTCCTATGTACAGTGAATTCCTGTTATGGTTCTTAAGGCTTAGATCCAACCTCAAAAAATGGGAGAGGTGTAGAGGAAGAAACCTTTTTCTGAATTTTACTGTTCCAGGCAGGGGTTTTTAAGTGGAAGAATTAAAATTTGCGTCCTTGGCAGATTCTTGGCAAATTCCAAACCTGACAAAAAGGAGATTATTTTATTCAGGAAATAAATACCATACTAAGGCAGTTCAGTGTATTTATTAAGTGTTTTTTAGGCCAAACCTGATGCAAATTTGATCTTTGAGGTCCTGTCCAGCCCTTGCACCTTGCAGTGATGTTTGGCTTCTTAAAATTGTTACTGGAGCAGCCCTGGAAAAGAATTTCCTTGTGAAAGGAGCTGGGTTTTGGCAAGTCCTGAGGAGTTTGTTGTGCTGCATTTTGTGGCTGTGTGATTGTATCTCTGATTTTGAGATGCTTTTGCAAAGGAGGAATGGGGGTTTTATCAGTGGATTCCACCAGCTCCTTTGCCTTGTCTTGATAACAAAGGAAAATCTCTGAAATCTCAGTTTTCTTACAGATTTTTCTGTTCAAAACAAGTTAAACCCAGAATAAATCATATTAATTATATGATATTTCTCCTACTCTTGCTAATCTGCTGGAAATGCAGTCCCACAGGTACAGAATTAATCAGTTTTCATCTTCTTTTCTTCCCCAAATATTACCCTTTCTGTGCTGCTTGTGGAGAACTGAGGAAGGATCTGACACTTTCAAGCAGTCTGACTTGGTTCATGCACAAATTTAGGGGGCTGTTTTGTGGTTTGCTTTTTATTTTTAAGGAATTGAACCCTCCTAACCACATTTTGCCGTCTGGTTTATGGGAGGCAATGGGAAAGGAGAAGGAAGTGTCAGCATTTCCTGTATCCTGTTATCTTGTGCTTTTTATGGATGTTGGATTAACTATACACTGAAAATTCCCTACCACAGGGAGCTTGCTGCTTGACTCGCTCTAATAACTATAATTAATTTGCATCATGTGTATTTTGACTGGCTCTAATTACAGATTATTCCTTGGAAGCCCCCGACTCTGCAACACTTTTCCATTCACATTTCCCCGTGGTTCTCAAGTCAAAAATTTTGGGACAAGGAGGGATTTTGTGTTGTCTTAAGCTTTGTTTGCAACCTGGCAGATTTTGTACTGGAGAAATTGCACTGTTTGGGGTTTTTTTTGGTCATCACTGAAATCTAAATGTGGTATGTGCATTATTTAGCCTGAAGCTTGGGGTCTGGACTGGAAGCAGTTTAGGAATTTGAAGTGCAAGTTTAGGAATAAATTGCTGTATAAATGTATAAATTCCTCTACTGTGTAATTGCTGCACTGAGGTACCAATTCTAGCACTCGTGGCTGAATATTCCTGATAATTAAAGCGGAGAATTTTGGGGAAAGGACATTTATTTCTTACATAAAAGGAGTTAAAAGTGAAAAACAGGATAATACTGGACTGTTTGGGTGCACTGGGAATATTCTGAGTTGGCAGGGCCCCACAAGCTGAGTTTGTCAAACAAACAGAGAATGATTTTAGGAAGGGGGAGCTGGATCTGACCTCATCCCTGTTTTTTCTTGGAGCAGGTGGTTGAGGTGAGCAGGTGTCCATGAATGATCCCAAGAAATGATGGCTGACCAGCCGCCCCCTCTGGAAGCCACACCTCTGCTGAATGAAGTGCCACTTCTACCTCACATGGTCAACGGGGACAGCATCCAGCAGGCAAGTCAGCCCTGAACTGGGAGCACTGGGAACCACTGGGATGCTGGCTCCTCAAAAACCCTGCAGCTCTGCCACTGTTCTGCAGAACTGGGGGAGGATGTGGTTGTGAGCACTGACGTCAGGAGTTAAACAGAAGTGCAAATGGAAAGAGGAAAAAATCATTCAGCTCCTGGCCAGGGGACAGGTGTCAAAAAAGGGCTTTAAAATGGAGTTGCAGACTCCAAAAATCATAGGAAAAATTAGGGGGTTAATAAAGGTTTAGGAACTCCTGTGAAGTAATAAATAAAGATTAGCAAGGGATTGCAGAGGAAATCTATTACAGGAAAATTAAAGGAAAGACCTTGGCTTCCTGGTTTTAAGTGTCTTCATTAATAATTACAGTGCAGTGGTGAAACCTGAGTGTATTTAGTTGAAACTTTAGAGCTTTATTGGACACAACCTTTCAGAAGTGCCTGGTAGGATTAGAAATACAGGTAAAAGTGACAGCAGAACAATTCTGAAGCCCAAGTGTGAGTAAATTGTCAGTAAATGGGAATGTAGTGTTCAGCAGAAAGAGCTGAGTGCATTATACTACAAATACTGGGAGCTCTTCCCATCCTTTGAGGTCTGGTGGGTCATAAATGCTGAAAGTTTAGATGAAATCACCTTTAATTTGTCATTGTTGCAGATAAGAAGGAGAATCTTCTGTTGAAGATTGAGAATCAACTGTTGTCTCAGTTGTCTGCTTGGAAAAATGAGCTGTATTAAAGAAAAAGTCTTTTTCCCTTTCTCTGCCTCAGACCCTGGAGGTGGAAGTACAGTGAGTGTGTCTGGAAATGAGCAAAGTCTCCAAGATATTTTTGAAGTTGTGACAGTAGAAGGTGAAATTTCAGCCCTGCCCAGCTGAGAGGTGGTTCAGGTGGTTCAGGTTTCATGAGGAAAAGAGATCAAGTAGATTTAATTGGCCCCTTTCCCCAGAGCTGTGTGTGTGGGACATGGAGGTGACAGTCACTGACATTTTTGAGACCTAGAGGAGACTGTGCAATCAGGTGAGATTAAAGAAAAAAGGGGAAATAATAGAGTTGTATTGTGGAGATGCATTTGAAGAGCAGATTTGAAGTTAAAATAGAATATTTTAGAGAGAGGCTCAACTTAGAATCTTTATTAATGCAGAGGAATTTTATTTGTTTCCAGCAATCAAACCTGTGTGTTTGGCCAATTCCAGTTAATCCATTAGTTCCATTTCACTCATAGCAAAAGTTGGAAATTTTCTGAAAGGCTTTCTGGATCCAAAAGTATGTGAAAGAGGGATAAAACCAGAGCTGTGGCTGAGCAGTTTTGGCTGTGCTGGTGCCACCAGCCCTGGAGAGGTGCTCAGGACACCTGGAGGCATTGGCAGCTCCTGGGCTCAGCAGTCCCCATATCTCACTTGGCTCAACAATACTCCAGCTTCCTGGAAATTTTCCTTGTTGGAAGGTGGCTGGGGCTGCATTTGCTTCATTAATTCCAGTGAGTCACTGCTCTAAGACATGGCCTGTGCATTCCTGGAATTCCAGGCTCCCAACTGCTGCTGCAGCCCTGTGATTGCAGCACTCGGATCCTTCCCTCAGTTTTCCTGAGCTGGTTCTGAGAGCTGCAGTTCATGGAAGCCTGTTCTGAAGTTGTGCCACCCTCAGAAGCTCTGAATCTCTCAAAACCATCCCTTTCTTGCCTCTGAGTTTCACCCTCCAAGATGGGCCTTTTCCTGAGGTCAATCCCTGCCTCTGGAGTCCTGGATCCACAGCAAATCTTTTTCCTGTTTCTTGTGCACTGGTAAATCCCCAGCCCATTATTGTCAGTTTTTGTTAAACAATTAACACCACTTCTCTCCCTTTACCCCAAGAAATTTATTAGCACTGAAGTCATACATTCACTTGCATTCTGAAGGACAAATCTGCATAAATTTCATTATTAATGCAAATTATGCCACTTCTAAAGGCATTCTCTGCCATCTCTCCCTCTCCTAGAACCATAATAAATATTACTGAGTGCCTAAATGGCCTTTTCAGAGATTTTGGTGCTTCACTTTTATCCAGAAACAAGCCATCCACCCAAAGTAATATTCTCCTGTACAAGGAGCATCAATTCTCCCCTACAAGGGAGGTCATGAAAAATAAAATCAAAGATTAATACACCAATATGCAGAAGCTGCAAAACCAGCGTTAAAATAGCATTTATCATTTATCCTTGGAGTCTGTAGTGATGAGAGCAGTGAAACTGGTGCCTGGGGTGTTCAGGGAGTTCCAGCACTGGAAATGTAACAGCTCAGAAAAATTCAATCATTAATGTCATGTGTAGCTCATTTTACCAGGAATTAAATGACCAGGTGATTCCTTCTGGTCCCATCTACCTGCTACAAATGTCACTCCATGAACAGTGCAAAAATACTTTATAAAAATGGAATGGAAGATAATGATACTGATTTTCACAACTGCTTTAACAAATACATTTTATTTCAATTTTTACATCAGCACCAGCTGTCACTAGGGTGGAATTTTAATTGTGCACCTGCAGTTCTTACCTGGCCAAACCCCACTTTTATTAAAGGATTAGCTGTAGAATATCATAGATGTTGCAGTAAAGTGAAGCTGCCAAAATTCCCCTGAGGCTGGGGCAGGATGAGGGGATGGTTTGGGATCCCAGCAGTGCCTGAGGAGTGATCCTGGCCCAGCTCCACTTGGATTTGTGTGCAGGAGGACATGGCCACGTCCTAAGGGACCTGCAGTGTGTCACTTGTCACTGGGGCTTGGATTCCTTCACAGGGAAAACACACCTGGGCTCTCAGAAGCTGCAGGGAAAAGCCTGGAATGCAATGTGAATCTCAGGTCGTTATTGCCTCAGTAAAAGCAGAAGAAGCAGTGTGAAATTTGAAATTAAAAGCTTATTTCCTGTGTATCAGGTGATGCACTTTTGGGAGTAACCATATTAAAAATACAAGGATTTTATGTCAAAGTAGGAAGAAATGTTTTCATTCTACCCATCATTCTAACCATTTTCCTTTATGCCTCCAAGGTTGCCAAAGCTCTGTTGTTGTTTGTCTCTAAAGAAAAGGGGTTTTTCCCCCAGAAAATTTCTAAAATTTAAAAAGCCCCCAACCTCTCTCTTTTGTGTTTTGTTTCCTGCAGGTGATTCTTGTCCAGGTAAACCCAGGTGAAACATTTACAATTACAACTGAAGATGGACACATTCAGTGCATTCAAGGTAAAAAGAAAGCTCAAGTCCTGAATCCAAATAGTTTTGTTCTAGGGTTATTCCACTGGGTTTTTTCTGGGATATCAGATGCATTTCCTGCACTGGAATAAATCAGATTTTTCAGTTTGTATCCAAGCACAAGTGAGGCAGCACTGGGAAGCTGCCAGGATTCCCTGCATCCTGCAGAATTTAATTTCCAAAAGATGTGTTTGCAGTGATCCTTGACTAAGTGCCTTCCCAGGATCTTTACACATCATTTCTATGGCATTTAATCCACAATTATTTAAAGAACTTTAACAGGCACTGGGACCTCCCTGTGCTGTGAGGTGGGGGAATCATTGCTCCACTCTGTGCCTGCAAATTCCTTTTTTCCTTCTGGGTAAGTGACAGAAAATCCAAGCCAGGGCAAAATATCTCCTGTAAGTCAAGTTGAATTTATCAGTATTTCCATTTTTGGAGTATTTGTTACCATTTTACATGTTAATTATATAAAATATGTCCATTCTGATTCCATTTCATCAAATGCCCTACAGGAATAATTCCTTTGAGCTTAACATAAAAAAATAATGTATTTAAAATTTTTTTTAAAGTTCCTACATCAGCTTTATCCCAACACCTGCATTTACCATCATGAATATAGACTTTTGGCTGTCACAAATTAAGAGCTAAAATTATTTATACATATTTTTGTGCAATTGAAAAGACACTGTTGGCCCAAGCGTGGTGTTTGGGATAAAGCTAATAATCAAACAGAGAATGGGATGCAATTCCTGATGTTTCAGGCTCCAGGGTGAGTTCCCACCTTTGGAAAAAGGTGTCTCCAGATGGGAAAAGCCTTGGTTGTTAAAAAGTGGCCCCTTGTCCTCGCCAGGTCCAGCACACGTCCCTATGATGTCACCAAACGGTTCCATGCCGCCGATTTTTGTGCCTCCCGGTTACGTATCTCAGGTACATTTATTTCTCCTCCTCTTGCAGTGTGGTTTTTTGGGGAAAAACTAATAATATTTTTATTATTTATTGGTGATTTTAGCCTAAAACCTAATTTTTCCACTGAACTTACCAACTGTTTCACTTTATTGTGGTTTCTGTCCTCTCTGAGTAATGTCTGATCCTGTTTCCAGGATTTTTTTAATCCTACTCCCAGCAGTTAAAGATACTTTTAATAACAAGGGCAGCTCTGAATTGACTGTCTGAGCTCCATGAACAGGATCCACATGTTTATTTTTCATCAGTCCTGTTTGCAGGGTGAAGCTGGGTCATGTGAACAGTCCCAACTGGCTGCAGGTTTTCTATTTTAATACAAAAAATTATCTGAGTTTTCAGTGCCCCTGTCTACCAGCCCTGATCTCCTGAAATTCCAGCACTGCTGGAGCAGAGTGTGCAGAGTGTGGTGGTGATGCAAACACCGATTCCAGTGATTGTTTGGGAAATGAGCAGGGCTCTGGGCTTTTCCAGCTTTGCTTTCCAACTCCCATGGATTTTCCACTCCTGGGTGTTGTTCAGGTCAGACCTGCGTGTTGTTACCAGAGATACTCCCAGTTCCCAGTTTGATTTATTTCCAAATTAATGCGTATTAAAATGAAATAATTAAAACCAAATGTGGGAATGGAGCTCGTGTTGTAGTAATGTTGAAAATCAGGAGTGTTGTGAGTAGGTTTGAAACCTGTGAGTTCTTGGGTTCTCCAGGCAGTTTCTTTTTGCACACAGCTGCATTTTGGGCTCCTTCTGCTCTTCAGCCCTGCAGACCTTGAGGAAAGATTCCCCCAGATAATTTCTGATCCCTGTGAAATGGATCCCTCAGTGCAAACAGTGGGCAAAGCCCTGGCAGCGCTGAGCTGCTCAGCCTGAAAACCACATTTATTTGTTCTGTGTTTGCTGTCACCTGAAACCAGCAGGGTTGGGTTGTTTTCCCTTGGTTGTTGTGACAGGGATTGACAAGTAGGAAAGCAGCTCTAAATCAGAGCTTGAGTTACCTGGGCTGTTCTTGTTAGATGAGGTGATAACTTTGTGTTCCCAGTGTCTGGAGCAGCCCAGGGCTGGTTCTCTTGGATTCTGCCAAAGTGGAGTGAAATAATTCAGGAGTAAATAGGTTGTGGACTCCCGTCCCTGGAAGTGTTCCAGGACAGGCTTGGATGGGGCCTGGAGCAGCCTGTTCTGTGGAAGGTGTTCCTGCCTATGGCAGGGCTGGGATGAGATGAAGTTTAAGATCTTTTCCTACCTAAACCGTCCTGGGATTTTGTGATTGTTCAGCACTTTGGTGTGACTGACTGCCTCAAACTCCCCTTTATCCCAGCAGTACCTTCCTGGTTTCCTTGGAATCCAGCCTGGTGTACAAACCCCTGCCTGTCAGATGCTGGGTGTGACCCAGAGCAGGGAAATTCCTTGTTAAATGTACAATATTTGATGGGATTGTCTCTGGACTCACGGTTGTTTTCTCCCGTTTCCCGGCAGGTGGTGGAAGAGAACGGGGTTCGGCGAGTGGTGGTGGTGCCCCACTCGGGGGAATTCCATCCTTCCATGCATCCCCCTCCTCCTCCCCCTCCTCCCCATGTACCCCATTACATGCACCACCCTCATGCCCTGCTGCCACCCCCCCCTCACCCCGTGTTCCCCGCCGTGCCCGGCACAGGAGAGCTCCCACCTCAGTTCATGCACCAGCCCCCGCCACCACACGTGTTCCAGGAGCAAGGTGAGAGCCTGGGAATGCCCCAGATCCCGGCAGGGACAGCTGGCCCTGCCTCCCCACTCATTCCCAGGGGTTCTGCTGTTAACTTAGAGCACCCCTGTGGGTCAGGTACTCACCATGTGCAAAGTTTGATTGTGTATCCTCTGAATTTTCTGTTGGAATTCTCTGTTTTCGAGGAATTATGCAAATTTTTACCTAAGAAATGTTGTATTTCCCTTTCATCCCTGTTGGGTTTTTAACTCCTTTCCCTAAAACTCTGCCCACTGAGTTTTGTCACAGCCTTGACATGAGGATTATTGAAAATGAACTTAATTTGATACATTATTTTTTTTATTTTTTTTTTTAGTCCAAATATGACTAAAAAGTGAAAAAAATCCCCTAAAAAATGTCATTATCTATAGTGGAGGGTGACATGCAGACCCACTCTAAAAACTGGATGAAGCAATAAATCAGTGAAGGACAAGGGTTATGTTGAATTAAACCAAGATCAAATCCTTATTTTATAATCAAGACTTAAAATAGAAGTTATACTTAATAAAATCATTCATTGTCTCTCAAGAATAAATTGGTAATTACATATTTTGGCTCACTCTAGGGTAAAACAGCATTCAGGCTGTGTTGGAAAAATTCAGTTTGGGTTCTAAATTTGCTTAATTTTTTTAAAATGTGCCTATAGCAGGGAAGAAAGGCAGCTGTAAAGCAGGATCTGGGGCAGCTGAGAGGAGAAAGAAATTCAGTTTAAAAAGACCCCAAAACTCCAATATCCCTGCACTCCCAGACTGACAGAGCACATGGAAGTTCCAGGTTTTAGCTAGGTTTTAGTGATTTTTCCAGCTTGTAGATTCAGGTGTCAAATGAATTATTCAGAATAATGAAATCACTTCTCCCTTCTTTGCAGAACCTCGTTCCCATGGAAGGACAAACTTCATCCAGAGGGATGAGAGGAGTCTCAAAATGCAGGAACACCTCAAGAAGAGGCTAAAGGACAGACAAGCCAGTGGTCACACCAACAATAAACTGAACAGCCCTCCCTCATCACCACATAAAGTCCTTAATTCTTCCAATGCCACAATTCCCAATGGGAATGGCAAGGGCCAGCAAGGGGCAGTTGGAGCACTAAAGCAGAAGCAGATAGGAAAAACAAAGGGCACTCCAGAGGCTGAGATGGGAGGTAGGTGGCATGGACTGGGGAAATCTCAATTATTTTCTTATTTTCTATAAATTCATTGCAAAACAGGTTCTGAAAAAGCTGAATTTATAAATTTGTTTGGCTGTTCAGGATTAGAGGAAGCCTGAAGTCCATTATGGTTAGATTTTTTTTTTTCTCTAGGAATCATTGGAATATCAAGTTTTTTCATTTGGTATTTATCAAAGAAGGTCTTCAGGAAGATTTAATCTTAAACTTTTTTACTTCCCTGCCATTTCTAACCCAGGAAAGATCAATATTCTGATCTTGAATATCTGAGGGTGACCCATAGTTACTTCTAGAACTTCTGGTGTCAGTGTTTGTGGTACTTTTTAGTTAGCCAGGAGTCACTTAAACCTTCAAGAAATATGAAAACTTGAGCAGTTGTAGAAGCTGTTGTTTAATTAGTTGAAATTTCAGCTTTTTAATACCTCATGATTACTAAAAACCTTGTGCAGTGTCATTGTCATTGCATTGCTTTGAGACAGTGTCAGGCTTCTTCCAAACTTGGGAATGTTTTGCCATAGAAATTCCTGGAAAACACATAAGGCAAAGATAAGATCTTATTGTCATTTTTTTTAACACCTCTCATTTTTGGAGGACTGTTTTTATGTTGTCAAAGAAAACCTATTTCTGCTCCATTAGGAAAAGATCCCCTTTGTGCAGGATGTACTAAAAGGGTTTTTGTACCACTGTTGGTTTTGGATAGTTGGTGTTTCTGCCCCTCACGCAGCCAAAACAAACAGGGGAAATGAACTTTGCACAATAAGAACTATTGTTCAAGTCCTGTTGAGGCCAACTCCATCTCGTGGTGGCCTTTTGGTAACAGCCTGGGTTTGCTCCCAGGCTTTGGGATAATCTGGTTTGTGTTTAAATTGCAGAATCTGACACAGAATCCAGGAAATGTGATACTCACTTGAGCATTGGCAAGCCAGTCGTAAGTATTAGCCTTAAAATCCCATTATTTTCTGGGCCTGTGCTTCCTATAAAATAACGTGTGTTTTATCAATCCCTTTTTCTTCGTTCTTAATGGTTTGGTTTTTTTAATAGAGAAGGTAAATACAGTTTAGTTGTCAAAGTTTATAGCTGGGAAAGGGCAACCATGCTGGAAATTCACTATTTCTGAGTGTGCCAGCCCGTAATCCCAGAATATTCCACTGTTGCAGTTTTCCAGGGTATGTGAGGGCTTTACCTTGCAAACCAGGGGCCTGCTAAACTCTTGGAAGTTTGTCTACTCTTGGAACCATTCTCTACTCAGCAGAGAGGATTTAGAAGTGTTGAGGATAAAATTTACACCAACAGATCCTCTTCTGATGTTCTATTGAGAAACTGGAGCAAATATTTGAGTATTTAGAGACTTGCTTAGGAAGGTGGAGTCTGGTGAGGGTAATTAAAATGTCTGTGTTTGATCTTGAGCAAGTTTAATGAGCTCTTCTCTGCATTATCCACACAGCAAACAGGGGTTGTGTTCCTTTGCACCGGCTTTTGAGGGGTTTTTTGGTCCTTTAGTACTTTTTCCCTGCTGCTTCTGACATCTGTGCTTTGAGCTACCACAGGGCTGTGTTGCCTTGGGCAGAGAGAATTTGGAGTGTGGGAATTAAGCAGCAAAAAAAAAAATCAGACAAGAAATTTTGAGTTTTACAAACGAAGCCTGTGCTGTCCTTAGGATCAGTGGTTGAATATTGTGTGAGGGAGCTGTCAGAAAATGAGATGTCTGTGCCTAATCTGATCCGGGGTCCTGCCCAAGACTCCCCAGTTAAACATTTGCTCCAAATGAGTGATGGAAACATTGATGCAGGAATTTTCTCTTCCTGCCCCATTGTGGTGTTGGTTTGGTGTTGGAATGGAAAGACTTTAGAAATGAAAAGAGGAAGTCGTTGCAATCCAAAGAATGCCTCTATATTCCTGCTCCAAAGGGAAACAATTCCTCCAGTGAGGAGCTTCCTAGGCCAATTAGCGACGCCATGTTATTGACTAATTAACCTTTTCTTGCAGAAAGCAAACTTACTTGCATTATTTATGCTTTTAATAGGTTTCTGATATACAAGCAAGATCAGCCGTTCTGTCCTGGAATCTCCCAGTTAGTTCACAGAATGGAGAGAGCCATAGTCATAGTCCAGCAGCATTTACATTTGAAGTAGCAATATCCAACAGTGGTAAAAATGGAAAATTTAAATCTGTCTATGTGTAAGTTTAGTTTCTTCCTTTAAGCACAATGTTTAAACCATTAACCAATCAGCAATCTCTCTATCAGGAGCTGTTTGTTGACTTGCAGACCTTCCTACTTCACATGAAATAAATTTTAAGTAATGTCACTAAAGAGTTATACATGGACAGTGGGAAACTTAAATGTGCACTACGTGGTTTTGCTTTTCAATGAGCTTTGAGCCCTGAGGTTTAAGGAAGAGCTGTAACTCTGCTTTCTGTTTGTTTTTGCCTTTTCACAGTGGGGAAGAATTAACAATTACACTTCCTGATCTCAGACCAGCCACTGATTATCATGCCAGGTATGCTGCTGGGAAGGAAATAATGCTTTGGGGGATGTGGGAATTCCAGGATTCTCGTGGCTTCATGGAAAAGGGGTGATACAAACAATTAAGGAATTACTCTGAAACAACACCATGCTGTGGACATTGGGTTTGCTATCTAAATTCCCACTTCTCTTCTAATTTCATTAAAACACCACCTCATTTTCTTCCCTACCACCTTCTCTGTCTCAGATTTCTCAGTTACAAACTTTAAATGATTCTCTGCTGGTATTTTTTTAGAACAACACTCTGTAGATTGTTGTAGGCTGAAGTCAGTGGTAAATGAGATAATTTAGTTTTTGAATTGGATCTGAAAGTCTGAGTTGTCAGCTTGATTTCCAGAGATGCTTGTCTGACCTGCAGCAGTGCAAACAGGGAAGTGGGAATGGGCTGGAATGGGCAGTGGGATGGGATGATCAGGAGTAAAGGATCCTGACTGGAGGTGTTGGGCTGGCCAGGAAGAGAGCAGCTGGTGAAGCAATCCAGGGGAGCACTGGGAAGAGCCATACTCAGTGCTGGGGCACTGGAGCAGATGAGACCAAGGATTTCCCTGGAGCAAAGTCCTGCTTTGAAGCTATGGAGGAGTTCTGAGTGTGGGAAATGCTGGGCCCAGCTCCACCTGCACAGTGGGTTATGTTTTCCACAGAAGAGGCAGGGCTGCTGAAAACATGAAACAATTCCTGTGAAAATTGTGATTTTTATGATTTAGCCTGTTTAGTGCCCATCCCCCTGCACAAGTGTTGGCTGTGTTTGAATTTTAAGGTGTTTCTAGCAAAAGGCTCATTTCCAGTCAGGTATCCTGTTCATCTGAGAGCACCTGCCATAGTTTTCATCCCCTATCCCACAGGTATTTCAGCACTAAATATCTCCACTGTGACAGAGAGTAATGGCAGAGTAAATGAAGGGTGAGAAATGGGGGTGTGGGGTCAGCAGGTGAACCTCTCTGACCCCCCACCCTGCAGCCACTGCTTGGGATGAAATCCCTGAAGCTGCCAGCTCTTCCTTTCAGTTTGCAGGTGCCAGTGCAACAGCCACATCATTAATTACCCTTTGTTTAGAGTTTCAGCTACCAGCAGTTCCATCAAAGAAACCATTTCAGAACTGGTGAGCTTCACTACAGAGAGTTGTGAGCCAGACTGTCCAGCTGCCCCAAAACTGATTAACAGAACCAAAAACAGCCTGAGCTTGCAGTGGAAGGTAAGAACCAAACCTGGGGCTGAGTGAAGGGGAGCAGAGCGCTCTGCTGGATTCCTGTGTTTAAATTAGCTTTTTCAACATGTGCTCTAAGTATTGCCTTTTAAGTTGCTCAGTGAAGATTGATAATAAAATAATAATTTCCTTTCTCTTCTTTTTCAATGTTTGCTGAGTTTCTTACCTGCAGCTTTGGTGTGACAGAGTTGGTGGCAGGGCTCTTCTCTTCTGAACTGGCAGAGAGGAAAAAAGGAATTTTGATTTATATAATCTTGCCTTGAGTTTTGGATGATAGATAAGACTTAATGTTTTATTCTGACCCATTCAGACTAAATTTCTTTGGATGGTTGTACAGATTCTCATTTTTAATCTGATTTGTGAATATAACCAGTATCTGTGAAGGTTTATTGGTAGCTCTGTTTGCTTGGTTTTTGGTGTTTTTCTTAGGACCATGTTGAAAAATGGTTCCAGCTAAATGACTTTAGTGAAATTTTTTTGTAGAATCTGTGCTTATAAGATGAAGAAGTTCCCATTTCATGTGTCAGATGTTGCTTGTGTGAACTTTTTGATTGCACAGGCAGGTGGTGAGCACACAGTATAAGGCACAAGGAAAAGAGCTCTAAGAATATAATTTGCTTCATTTATAAAATAAAAGTATTTTTAAGTTCTTATTCTAAACTATCAGACCTAAAAGAAGCAGCACAGCAGCCTTGTATTAAAAGGCAGTTGGAGTTTAATATTCAATGTGTAATATTTATAAAACACATTTACAACCACTTGATTTTAACTCTTTTTTTCATTGTTTCTTTATTTTCAGTCCTCAAATGACAATGGTTCCAAAATAACTAATTTTCTTTTAGAATGGGATGAGGTAAGAGCTTTTCTAGTACCAAAAAAAAATCATAATGACATCTGTAGAGCAATTACACTTAAAAATACCCTTTGCTTAGGTACAGCAGCTATTTTGGTACAACTGTCCTGACAATTTTAAAGGAACAAATGATCAGTGGGAGGGGACAGTGTAAAACTGCCTCATTTGTCATCCAGAGCATGAGTAATTCCTGTGTTCTCATGAAATGCATGAGCATTTGGCATCTTTGGGTCATGTTACAAATGTCCCTCAGCTCTTGAGCTCATCTTGCTGAGATGTAATGCAAAGGGATAAAAAACTTCCAGAATGTGTTTTGTTTTCAGCTCAGTGGTTTATCACCATTTTGTCTAATTCACAGTACCAAAAGTAATCAGATATCTCAATCCTAATGTGATTTATTACTGAGACTTCCCAGAGTGACCATCAGCAGACTCAGGATGACCATGATGCATTAAATTTTGCATTCTTGGGGCTCAGTAATTTCTTTTTTAATTACTGTTAAATGAGTGAAATGACATTTCTCGTGGAAGGTGTCCCTGCCAGTGGAACGAGATGAGCTTTAATGTCTCTCCCAACCCAAAGCAGTCTGAGATTCTGGGATTTAGGAAGATGTAGAGTGAGGAGGGTGACCTTGGCAGGAATCAGGGTGTGACTCTGGATCTCCCTGTGTTCCAGGGGAAGAATGGCCCCTTCAAGGAATGTTACTACGGACACCTGAAGCAGTACAAGCTCACCAAGCTCGCTCCCTCCACAAGATACTCCCTCAGACTGGCTGCTAAAAATGACATTGGAATGAGGTAAGCAGGAGCCCAGGGACACCAAATGATGGATTTCCCCCTGGATTCCATCAGCTGCTGCTCACCCTTCTTCAAAATCTCCTCCCCAGTGGGTTCAGTGAGACGGTGACGTTCGGCACAGCCGGGGTGGTGCCGCCAGCCCCGGCACCGCCCGCGCTGCTGGAAGCAGGAGTGACCTGGATGGCCCTGGGATGGAGCCCTCCTGCAGGAGGGGCCTTGGATGACTCCCTCACCTACAGCCTGGACATGGAAGAAGAAGGTTCTGTAAGTGTTGGGCTTTGTGTGGCAACTTCCTTTTATAGTGCTGAAATAAAAATGAACTTTTTTTTTACCTTCCGATAAATGGTTGGCAAGTATTGCATGGAATTCATGGCACAGGGATCAAATATTGCATGGAGCTCATGATAGAGTTGAAGTATTGTGTGTAATTCATGGCAGAGATAAAGTATTGTGTGTAATTCATGGCACAGCAGTGAAGTTTGAGATTAAAAAAATGTGATTTACTCACCTTAAAAGTCAGTGACTCTGCTCATCCTTATTTTCCCCTCCTTGCCAGGGCTATGGATTCCAGCCCCAGTACAATGGAGATGAGCTCTCATGCACTTTAAGAAACCTGAGGAGGAGTACATCCTATAAGTTCAGGGTTTGTACCATAGTTTGTTCCTAATTTCATGTGCTTTCCTGGCTTTGGCATTTTCCAGCAAATTTTTCAGCTTTGTATGGAGACAGCAGGAATTCACCTGTTGTCCCAACAATTATCTGTTGTTAGAGCAGGTTTGGTGAAATAATAATACAAATCAGATTTTTTGTACCAGCTAATTTTGGTGTAAATGGTTGTCTTTATTTTGGTTGGGTTTTTAATAGAAGATTTTTTTTTAATCATCAGCATGCTTAATCCTCATGTATTATCAACATATTTTACTGTCATTAAATAAACCATATATCTTCTATTCTGTTCCCTCCTCCAACAGCTCTTTGCCTACAACAGTGAAGGAAAAAGCAGTCCCAGTGAGGTGGTGGAGCACAGCACCAAGCCTGACAGACCTGGAGCTCCGAGTAAACCTGTTGTAAAGGGCAAGATCCATCCCCACAGTGTGAGAGTCACGTGGGGTAGGTGCCTTGGGGTGTTCCAGTGCTGCTGGGGTGTGGACAGCCTCTCTCTGATTAAATGAGGGGGAACTCAGGCTGATTATTTATCTGCAGGTATTGTTGTTGCAGGAGAAACACTCAACATTACCCAAAAATGGTTTATTCTGGGGCTGTGGTACCACATTGGTGTTGTTCATTCATTTTTCAGAAGCAGTGACTGCTGTCATAATACCCTCTGGGTTTACTCTGATGTTTAAATAATTCTTCTGTTCACTTAAAAAATAAGAGCTGATACCTGAGATTGGGAGTGTTTTCCCAGTTACTCTTCCTGACACAATCATGATTAATAATAGGAGGAAAATTGCTCTGAAAAACATATTATGAATAATTAAGTGCACTGGTTTCTCTTGCTAGTTGACTTTTCTGTTTGAATGAATATGAATATGTTCACTGGAAAAGCTGATAACAAAATAATGTCTTGATAATAAATCTTCTGTAACTTAAGGTGTTGATTTCTTTCAGAACCCCCCAAGGATAATGGAGGATCAGACATTTATAAATACTTCTTGGAAATCTCTGAGGCATCAGTTGGTAAGGAATCACCTTTGTGTACCAATACAGTACTCAGTCTCCATCCCTGGAGGTTTTTAATTCACATTTAGATGTGGAACATGGTTTAGACTTTGATTTTGGAGATGTTTTCCAACTTAAATAATGCTTTACTCCAGCAGTCACTTCTGATTTCACACGTGTGTGTTGTGTTGTACATGTTCTCTGTATAATTAATAATTTCAAATTTATTCTCTGGTTTGACTGCCTTAATAATTGTGTGAGAGAATTTTCAGGTGAGAATTTTGAAAGGGTAAAGTGCTTTTCCTTTCCTCAGGAGCGAGGTGGGAGCCCATTTACAGCGGAGCCCAGCGGGAACACGTCTGTGACCACCTCAGGCCTGGCACCTCCTACAGACTCCGGGTGTCCTGTGCCAGTAAAGGTGGGGAGAGCCAGGTGAGCAGCAGGAGGGGAAAGGTGCTTCTGGAAACCATTTCTCTTCATGTTTTAGCAAAATGCTTTGTGTCTGTGCTCTGCAATGATCTGTGTCCCTGGCAGGCCTCTGATGTCACGACTGTCACGACGGCGGCCGTTCCCCCTGGGCCCTGTCCTGCCCCAGCCCTGGTGGGCAAAGCCAAGCCCAAGGAAATCACTTTGCAGTGGGGTAAGCACCTGAGTTGCAGTAAAACACTGCTCTGATGTCAATCATCCAAATCAAAAATCTAGAGAACTCTTCGGGTGAAAAAAAAGTAAAAATAAAAATACAGAGATGCTGCCCATGACCTTAGGGTTTTTCTTAAAACCCTAAACTTGGGCTGGGGTTTTTGGTTTGTTTTGTGGGAGTTTTTTTAAGAAGATCAGAGCTTTTTCCCACCTCTGGTAGGGTGATACAGCGAGATTTAAGCAGACATAAATATTTTCCAGTAAGAAAGCTTCCTGTCTGCCCATGACTGACACCTGCTTGGCAATTTAAAAATCAACTCTTGTTTTCTTGCTGTTATCAGCAAAGGAGATAAGCAAAAATTGATGAAGATAACACTGTTTTGTGAAGAAAACAGAAAAAATACATGAAAAAACCCTGATGAAGGCCATCTTAAAGTAATTATCAGTACCTGGGGGGGAAAAGCAAGCTTCATGAAGTGTTTCTGCTCATATACATGACAAGAGCCTGCCCTAACTTGGGGAATTTAGAAATTAATAGGAAAATCCAATCTCTTTTTGTTTGCCAGGCCCCCCAGCTGTGGATGGAGGCTCTGAGATCACAGAGTATCTCCTGGAGATGGCCAGCTCGGAGCAGGAGGAGCGCAGGGTGGTTTATCAGGGCCCAGCAGCTGAGTTTGGAGTGACCAACCTGCTCCCAGGGAGAACCTACAGCTTCTGGCTCCGGGCAGGGAACAAAGTCGGGGTAACCACTGCACTCACCACATCTCACTGATTCACACAAGGGACAGCAGAGATGGTGCTGAGGGGATTTTGTAGCCTGTGTGGTGTGAACCTGTTGTTTGTGCCTTTGGAGATGCTGGGTGGGTTACCCCGAGCTCAGGCTCTACAGATGTTGTGTGGAGAGGGGTCTGTGCCAGATGTGCCAGCTTGAGAAAAGTGTGGGATAAGCGTTGGTGGCATAAAAGTCTTTGTGAAACAGTCCCGGCTGCTGCTGGAAGGCAGAGCCTGCCTGGGGGAGAGAGGAGTTACAAAACCCTGGGAGGAGCTGAGGTGTGGGAACAGGGGCCAAGTACCTGCAAGGAATCTGAAACTGAGCCCTGAACTCTGCTGTTTACTTCCCTGTCAAGTTAAAAATTGTTTGTTTGCTTCACTTGCTCATCACTTCTTGCCCTGGTGCTGTTGCTGTGTTCATACTGGGTTGTTTTCCTGCAGTTTGGCCCCCACTCTGAGAAGGCAGAGCTTTGCACTGCTCCAGGACCCCCTGAGCAGTGCTGCAAACCCCTGATAACCTGCAGAAGTGCAACTTGTGCTGTGGTTTCGTGGGAGGTAGGTGTTGATGGCTTCCAGTACCACCCAAATTAGTGTTTGGCTTTTAAAATTGTAGTGACACATTTATGATATGGAGAAATTAGAGAAATAGGATGTGTAGAGGTGGAATATTTTAATATTTTATGCCCATTTCTTTATACATATCTGTGTTGGATTTGTAAACTTTGGGAGTTATTAATTACAGTTTTAACTGGACAAATTGGGTGGCATTTAATCCTCCTCATGGTGTGGTAATTAATATATAGTGAACTGAGTGGTAAGAGATTGTGGGTCAGTCAAAATTCTGGTGTGAACTGTGGTAGTGTTACAGCCACATGTCACCTTTTAACTTAAAATTCCTTGGAAGAGACCTAAGGTTTCAACCCCAGTCCTTCCAAAGGTTGGATTTGGTGATCTTGGAGGTGTTTTCCAACCTTTTCTGTGACTCTCACCCAGTGTCTCGGTGTAACAGAGCTCCCCCCTGGCTGCTGGGGGTGTGTAAGTGCAAGAGCTGAGCAGAATTTCTCCCTCACCTCACAGAGCCCGGCGTGCAACGGAGCAGAAATCACCGAGTACAGGCTGGACTGGGGCCAGGTGGAGGGGTCCATGCACATCATCTACACTGGCCCCTGCCAGAGCTATGAGGTCAAGGGGCTCATACCTGCAACCACCTATTACTGCAGAGTCCAGGTAGGAAAAGCCTTTTGGTGCCACTGAGCACTTGCAGTTTGGGGAGAAACTCCAGCTAGAGAGGAATAAAGTCATGTGCTGTCACCTGCTCATGCAGTAGAGAAGGTAATTGGGAAAAACACTTCCCTTATCCCCCAGTCCCTCCTCATTCCCTGAATCTGGAAAAGTTTAAATGCAGTGTGCTGTGAAATGCCAGATGCTTTGCCCTGTTGACAAATTATTCAGGTGATTTTCCACTCTCTCCCATGTTGCTTTTAAGAACACTCAGGAGGCTGTGAGAGCCATGAACAGAGTTGGTAACTCCTGTGTGGTGTCTTTCAGGCTGTGAACGTGGCTGGGGCGGGGCTGTTTGGGGACACGGGCATGGTGACCACGCCTCCATCAGTGCCCGCAGCCGTGGCCGTGCTCCACTTACTTGAAGAGGATCAGATGGAAATTTCCCCTCCTTTCTCCACGTGCCTTGCAATCCAGTGGGAAGAGCCCTGCTGCCACGGGGCAGAGATCACAGGGTACAACATCGAGTATGGGGAGAAGCAGCTGGTCACTGTGGGGAGAAACACGACCCATGTCCTTGAGAATCTGCTGCCTGACACCCTGTACAGGTAAGAATTATTCTGAAATCACATTTGTAGGATTTAAAAGTCCTTTGAGGGTAGTGCTTTAAATTTTTAGAGCAATTTTTCATGCAGCTTACAGACTGGCTAATTCACTCTGCAGCTCCAAAAAGACACTCCTAAAATTGTCGTATCCAGACTAAGCATGATGTTGGCAGGAGTGAGGGCGTGGTTGGTGTTAAGGTTCATATTCTGTCTCAAAGCCAAGACTTTAAGGTTCCTGGGTTTAGAATTTTTCTCTGGGATGCTCAGGTGTGTGGCCAGAAGAAGATGGACAGGTAAGAGCAGAGCAGAGGTTCCTGTTACCTCAGTCTTGGTTAAGCTTGGAAAGCTGAGTTCAGATTTAATTTCTAACTGTATCTTAATTGTTTTACTGTTTGGAGTTACACTCTGTACCCCTTTTAACTCTTGCTTTGTTACCCAGCACTTTCCTGACCATGTGGCTGTTGTCTCCCATTCCCAGGATCAGGATACAGGCCATCAACAGCTTTGGAGTTGGTCCTTTCAGTCATTCCATGAAAGCCAAAACCAAACCACTACCTCCTGACCCTCCCCACCTGGAATGTGTGGTCTTCAGCTACCAGAGCCTTAAACTGAAATGGGGAGAAGGGCCCAGCAGAGCTTTAATTCCCAACCCTACTCAGTTCAACCTGCAGATGGAGGACAGGTTTGGCAGGTGAGACCATTAAGGATCTTGTGGTTTTACATGTCAAGTTTTTTAAGGTGTTTTATGTTATTCTCTGTTCTGTTTGCACCACTGAGTCATTTGGGCATCCCAGAGTTTGCCCTTTGGAAGTTTTGCATCTCATCTTTCAACCAGAAATGCTGTCAAAGACTTGCACTTGTGCTGCTTGTAAACAGTACATACAATTTAAAGAATAAATACCTTAGCACTGTCCTGTGCTGGCATGGTTATTTCTGGACATTCAAAACAAAGTCTGGTCTGCATATAAGAAACAGGGGTTGGCCAGCTGTTCTTTAAATGGAAATTTCAATTTATTTTGGATATTCAAGGGTTGTTCTCTTGATTCAGAGGAGTTGGGCCCTGCAGCCTCAGTGGGAAGAGGCCTGGGACACCCGGAATGCAGCATCACTTCTTTGTCCTTAACTCAAATCCGAGTGTTTCAGGTCTGACACTGCCCTACACGTTGGTGATTGCTGGGTAACCCTGTGTGTGTTCTGTGTCCCCCAGGTTTGTGACAGTCTATAATGGTCCCTGTCACACCTACAAGGTGCAGAGGCTCAGCGAGTCCACCACGTACCATTTCCGCATCCAGGCGTACAACGATGCTGGGGAAGGAGCCTTCTCGGAGGTTGTGGGGCTTTGTCTGGGTGTGAAAAAGGCTCTTTTTGTTGTCATCACCTCCTGCACTGCAGCTCTTCCATCCCTGAACTGAGCATTACCACCTTGGCTCAGCTGGAAAGGCATTTTGCAGGGTTATCTATCGAAGTTACAGCAGAGTGTAGGCGAGTGAGGGCACAGTTAATTCCTCTGACCTTCACTTTTTAACATGGGTGTGAAAGGTCATCTTTGAAGTCACTGTGAAGGTCAGAGTGCTGAGTGCCTGAAGCAAAATTAATTAACTGAACCATAGTTGGAACATCATTTCAGCTCTGCACATAGACAGAAATGCTGGGTTCTGTAGTGACTTGAAAGTGCTGCTCCTCTTTACAAACATGGGCTCATCCTGGCAGCTCAAAAAGACCAACAAGTGTAACCTACACCTAACAATGATCATTTTTTAAGCTCATGTCATCAAAGAGAATAAAAAGAAAGAAACAAATCTGAATTGCTTTAATTGCTGAATTGCACTGGAATGAGTTGCCTCTACGCATGACAGCTGTACATTTGTAGAGACCATTGTTCTTTTTCTAAAACACCAACAAATCACTCTATTTTCCAGCACCCAAAGTGATTCAGCTGGAAGAAAACACTTTGGAAATCACATGGGAGCCTCTACAGCCGATGAAAGGAGATTCCATTGTTTACATCCTTCAACTTGCTGCTGGCAGAGAGTTTGATCAGGTACCTTTAATGCAGCACTGGGAATGTGAGGGATTTTTACTGGGAAAAATTATTACCAAAAAAAAGATGTGGATATTTCTTGTGGAAAGGTATCCCTGCCCAAGGCAGAGGGTGGAATGAGATGGGCTTTAAGGTCCCTTCTGACCCAAACTATGCTGTGATTCTATGATTTGAAGGCTAAATTTTGTTTGGGGAGGTGACAGGTGACTGACGTCTCATTTCAGAAAGTGTGGAGTGGGTGGGCACTGGTTTGTCCTGTTCCCCCAACAATTCCTTTGGCTCTTGATTCTTAATCCTGATGGTCTGTGGTGCCACTGCCTCAGCTAATCAGAGAGTCTGCTTTGGTGGAGGAGCTTTAAGGAAGAAGATGCAGGATGATTTTTTTTTTTCTCCTTTCTGAGCCTCCCAGCCCAGGTGAGGCCTCAGTGTGGGGTGTGGCAGGAAATTCAATGAATCGTGAATTACCCAGAGATCTAAGCTGGGATTTTATGAAACTGGGGAGAGGAGGGCAGCTCCAGGCTGTGCCCAGCACTGCACACACCCCTGGAGCAGGACAGGCACTTGCAGGTGCTGCTGCTGAGCGAGGTGCTCCTGACTGAAGTGGCTCCTGTCTCCTGCCAGGTGTACAAGGGCCCCGAGCCGTGCTTCCGGCTGCCGGCCGCGCAGACGAACTGTGAGTACCGCGCGCGCGTCTGCGCCGGCCGCCAGTGCCACGACCTGCCGGGCTGCCCGGAGCTCTACGGCCCCTACAGCCCCAGCAGCGTGTTCTGCTGCCAGCGCCGGNCCGGGCCCCGCCGCAGCCCCGGCCGGCGCCGAGCTGGCGCAGAGCGGCAAGCGGCTGCGCGAGGAGCGCGTCATCGCCGTCGTGCTGCTCTGCGGCTTCGCCGTGGTCGCCATCCTCTTCGCCGTGGTCATCCAGTACTTCGTCATCAAGTAGGGCAGAGCTGGCCCCGCTCAGCTGTCTGTACAGAGCTCTCTGGGGTATTTATGGGTAGTTCAATGAAATCCTAGCTGGGAACCCCTCGCTCCGTGCGTTCCCGCTCCTGCTGCTGGGGCTGGCTCGGCAGATCCTTACCAAATGCTGGACACTGATTTCCTGTAGAAAGGGTGATCCTGGGGCCTCTGCAATCAGGGTGAGCTGTTAGAGAACAGCAATCAGCTGCCTTACGGTGCACACTGGGGGGGTGTGCACGCTCCTCCTCTCTCCCCATCCCAGCCAGTTGGAGAGGGAAGGCATTGCTAGAACAGTCCTTTCCCAGCACCACCAGAGCAGCGGGAGGCGATGGCTGTTCCATCAGGTTTTGCTGTAGTTTGATATCCATGAAATCCAGCAGCACAAGTGCTTGAGCTTAGAGCAGAACTGCAGAGCCTACTAGAGCATACCACATTTACTAGACTGTAGAAGGAAAGCAGAATATTGACTTAGTGATATTACTACTTTACAGTTATTTTAATACTTGGGATTCAGTAATAATCATTTCAAGTGTTGGAGTAGAGGGTGCCAGGGTTTTTTAGGGTTTTAATCCAAACCAATGCCAGCAGGACGCGGCGCTCGGCCGGGATGCCCAGGAAAGGCTCTGCCCGGAATGTTCCTGCTGTCCTGAGCAGCTTTGGCCCAATCCACATTTCACTCTCAGTGCCTGAGAGAAAAGTAATTCCCTGTGCAGCGTGCTCAGAACAGCACAGGAGTTGTCTTTAAGGAGAAAGAGTGCATTTATGATAAATGTTACACTATTTGGCTCAAACTGAGCAAATGTTTTTGTACTATTATTAACCTAAAAAATAAAAGTTCAGCCTGCTTTGGGTGCCCTTCTAACTTAACCCCAACGAGCAAATTGTACGTGAGAGAACTCTTTTTAGCTAACGTTTATACAATGTTTTAAACTTGCTATCCCAGTGGTAGCAGCTTCACATTCCATGGTTTTCCTGTTAGGAATGTTCAGCCTGCTATGAACTTGTCTGAAACTCGTCCTGGTCGGCTGGGGGATATTTTTGTGGACACTGTGCACTACATTTGACTGTTGTGTTCCATCTGCTTGTGAATCCCTGAGGAGGAGCCTGACAGCTCCTGGCTCCATTAGATCAAAGCTTTTGAAAGCTGGAATTCACAAATTTCCAAGGTTTCAGGATGGGTCTTGCCAACAGCATTTGGAACATGCCACAGAATAGTAGATTTAGGGTATTTTGCAAAGTCTGTGGCTCCACTTCGGCCATCTGAGCGATGCACTTGTGGGTGGGAGGGTGGATGTGACAGAGCTACAGGCGATGTGTTTCCAGTAATTAATTAATCACTTTTAAGGGTCTTTCTCCTACAGCAGTTGAGGAATAACGTTGTGTTAGAGTTTGAGGCATTGTGTTGTATTTCAGATGTGGAAAACCTAAATTATGACCTAGTATCACTTAATCCTCTTCACAGTAGATTGATGGTGCAATCTGAAATTAATCTTTTCAAAACATACTCTTCATTTTTGTACTCTATTTATTTTGATTAAAAGTCCTGGAAAGAAACAAAAATGTATGTTTGAATGTATTGTTCTACTTGTAGCAGAACTTTAAGTTAATCATTTATTATATCATAGAAATCTCTCCCTGCAGTGTCAGAGTTTTATACAGATATTAGTCTCTAGTTTGCAGAAGAGTTTACAATCTGTCTTTATTTTCCTCATAGTCTCCCTTTAGCAGATAAACTGCCAGCAGCAAATCTCCGTTGCCAAAGGGTTCTTTCTTAACTCCTTAGAACCAGCTTGTAGAGGTTTATTTGGCAATAATAATCCTGAAACTAGGATGGCAGAGTAAATACTAACAGGTCACCACTGCTAAAAAATGAAATCAAATCCTTTTGTAGTTGCCACAAAATGCTCATATTTCCAGAAAATATCCAGGATTTATACTGCAATACAGATTTTCCATCAGCTGTTGTCCATTCCAGAAGGATGTACCCTCGTGGCATTAATGTATTTTAGGCATCTTCAGTTTTCTTGTGTTGTCATTTTTGAGGTATCTCAAACGTATGTTAAAGCTGCCATGCATTGTATTACTAAATTGTAACTATCAAATAGATAATATATTTAATACAGCCAATAAATAATACAAATGTATTCAGATTTGACTCTGAGCTCCTGTGCTTTTGTGGGATTTGGTCTCACTTGTGTCATGTGTAATTTAAGGGAAGGGAACATGCTCAGTTGTCATCAAGAGCTGAATTTACTCGGGACCCTTGGAATGTCACTTCCATTTCTCCTCACTCTGCAGGAAGATCCTGCAGTTCCCAGGTGAGGTAAAGCAGTTCTTTGATACTGAAAATTGAATCATTTGGGGCTGATTACAAATTTTCCATCATTTTGTGTTGACTCACGGCCTTTCCCCCTTGAGCTCTTCCCCAGCATTTGCTGCAGAGTGTGGAATTTCTCCTGACGGTGCCTTAATGATCTGATGAAGGTAAGATGGGAAAGGCTTTCTTTGACCTTCATTCCCAAAGAGACAGCTGGACACGTAGCCTGGATAAACGTAGCGCTTCAGGGATGAGGAGCTGGAAGATCCTGGGGTGGAGGAGGCAAGGGGAGTAGGGGCCAGTGAGGGAATCCTAAGGGAACGCTCTGGGAAGCTGGAAGCACAGGGCCAAAGGGAACAGGGACGCCCAGAAGCAGGATGTGTCCTGCCACAGTCCTCAGAATTCCTCCAGAACCTGGGAATGGGGCTCTAGCAGAAGTGAGACAGGTATCATCTATAAAACAAACCTCCTCCCCCTCCTTGGAGCTCTGTGCAGTTCTGCTCCCAAGGACTACTCAAAAGCCAGAGTTCTGTGGAGCCAAATAGTGTGGGATTGGTGCTGGAAAGGTCAGAGCTGAGCACAGGCACTGCATTGTCCAGAAAATCCCAGATCTGACGTTAGGGAGATTCCTGCTGCCCTTTCCAAGAGGCAGAAACTCTGGCTGGGGTTGTTCTTGCAGATTTGGACACCTCCCAACAAGAAAGGCTGTCCTTGTGCCAGGGCTCTGCATGGCTGCGCCCTGAACACTTCAACAATTCCTGTCCGGGAAGGAATTCCCAGTGAAATTTCATAGAATCGTGGAATGGGTTGGTTCGAGACAGACCTTAAAGCTCATCTTGTTCTCTGTCAGACAGGAACACCTTCCCCTATCCCAGGCTGCACCAAATCCCATCCATCCTGGCCTTGAACACTTCCAGGGATTTAAAATTTATGGCATTTAAATCCTGCACCCTGAGCAGAGCCGCGTGCCCAGGCTCTGCTCCTGATTTCTCCAACAGATGATTCCCAGCTGGCCAGCAGCTGCCTGGGATGAATGACCCGCGGCAGACGGAGGAGTCGGCGCTGGGCCAGGACATGCCATGACCCCACTTCCTGTTTTCTGACGCTGAAAACAGCCCCAGTGTCTGAGCAGAGGGGAAGGGTGGCTGCTCTTCCATTGGGTCAGTGCGTGGTGCCCATGGAATGTGTCTTTCTGCATTTATCCTGGAGAAAAGGAGGCTCAGGAGGGACCTTCTGGCTCTGCACAAGTCCCTGACAGGACGGGACAGCCGGGGGGGATCAGGCTCTGCTCCCAGGGAACAGGGACAGGAGGAGAGGGAACGGCTTCAAGCTGTGCCAGGGTGGGTCAGGTTGGACATCAGCAGGAATTTCTCCATGGAAAAGGTTGTTAAACATCGGAACTGCCCAGAGAGATGTTGGAGTCCCCATCCCTGGAGGTGTCCAGGGAAGGACTGGATGTGGCTCTCAGTGACAAGGTGGACATCAGGCACACCTTGGACTCGATGGCCTTGGAGGGCTTTTCCAACCTCATTGATCCCGTGATTCCCAGCACGGCTGTGCCCCACAGGACTGTGTGTGGGGAGAAGCATCCATGGCCAAGAAGGCTTTTATGGCTCTGGGGACAGGTGGCTGTCCTGTGGGATTTGGCTCTGCCTGTCTTCTGCTGCTCTCCTCGCAGAAATCCTGCAGGTAGCTCCTGGTTGTGCTTCCCAGTGTGGAAAGTCACCTGTGGGCAGGTGGAGAAGGTGGCACGGGGGGCAGAAGAGTCATGCACTGGGTTTAGGGATAAATCCTGAGTCCCATGGAAGTGCAAACCATCGTTTTCTTTCCTGCCTCGGGAATAAATTGTGTGACAGCCCACAGCTCCATGTGCCAAGTTCCAGCCCAATCCCAGCCTGTGGAGGAGCTCCTCTTCCTGTTTCCTAAAGCAAGGAGAAAGAAAAGTAGATTTTGTTTCTTGTCTAAGGTCAGTGTCTGGAATCCCTCCTCCCTCCTGGAGCCGTGGGCTGCTCCTGTTCCCCAGGCTGATCCCAGGGCAGGGTTGGGATGTGTTTCCATCCAGGTTGGCTGATCCAGGTGCTGAATGCCTCCCTGGCTGTGGATGGGGAGCTCCAGAGCTGCTGCTGGAATGTTCCACAGGGCGGATCAGAGGGAGCAGCTCTGGTTTCTCCACGTCTGAGGAACTGGGATGGGAGTCCCTGGCACATCTTCTTCCTCCACACCTGGCTGCACCGGGCCATCCCGGGTTATAACAACAACAACAACAATTGCAACAGCTTCAGGAACGGTGCTGATCGCCTGCCTGACGAAATCACAACAAAACTTTATTTTTAGTTCTGTTTTGCCTCAGAAAGTGAGAAACTGACAAAACGCATATGGAATGTGCTCTAAATGCCTTCCAAATCCAGTCAGCTGCCATGAAAACAAGCTTTAGAAAGCTTTTAAATTTGCTTCCGAAGTGGAACCTTTTATTTTCAGAACAGTGGGAGCACACTGTCATTTTTAGTTAATCCTGGGAATGCTGGCAATTTAAAAAGTGGCTTCAGAGCTGTTAATGCAATAACAAAACATCCCCTCCTGTATCACCACAGGGCAGATGGGGAGCACTGAGCTGTCTACAGCAGGGGGAGTGGAAAAACAGTCACTTGAATCCAGCATATTTGGTCTGTGCATCCGTTGGCCTATATGAATATTTATAGTAAAATGAATTTCTGTCTGCCAGGCCGCGTCTCCATGGCAACCCCGCTAGGCCGCGTCTCCATGGCAACACCGCCCTCCCGGCCGCCGTAGCCGCGCCCCTTGTGTCACATGACCGGAAACTATGGAGGCGGCCAAGATGGCGTCTCCCAAGAGCGCCCCTAAAGACGCGCAGGTACCGCGGGGTCCGGGGGGATCCGGGCGGGACCGGGGACTGCCGAGGGGCTCCGGGGACTGAGCGATGCCTGTGTCCCCCCCGCAGGTGATGGCGCAGATCCTCAAAGACATGGGAATCACGGAGTACGAGCCGCGTGTCATCAACCAGATGCTGGAGTTCGCCTACAGTAAGCGGGGCCGGGCGGGAAGAGCTCAGGGAAGTCCCGGGTGGAGCAGGGAAGTGTTGTGTGGAGCAGGGAAGCGTTGTGTGGAGCAGGGAAGCGTTGTGTGGAGCAGGGAAGTGTTGTCTGGAGCAGGGAAGTGTTGTCTGGAGCAGGGAAGCGCTCTCTGAATCCGTGCTTCCGCGGAGGCTCCTCTGTCAGACTCGGCGACTGTGGAGATCTTTTCCAGCTGTAATTCTGTGGTTCTTTAAAAGTAATCACAGAATCAGAAATCCCAGGATGGTTTGGGCAGGGACACCTTCCACTCTCCCAGGTTGCTCCAAGCCCTGTCCAGCCTGGCCTGGGGCACTTCCAGGGATCCAGGGACAGCCACAGCTTCCCTGGGCACCCTGTGCCAGGGCCCGACAGGGAGGAATTCCTTCCCATTGTCCCATCCCTCGGGCAGTTTGAGCCGTATCTGGAGGCCACAGAATTTTCAGTGCCACCTGGGTGAGATCAGGGAGCATTTCACTTAGCCCAGCCTCAGCCCAGAGCCTGTTTCCCCCAGGATACGTGACCACCATCCTGGAGGACGCCAAGATCTACTCGAGCCACGCCAAGAAGTCGAGCGTGGACGCGGACGACGTGCGCCTGGCGATCCAGTGCCGCACTGACCAGTCCTTCACATCGCCCCCGCCCCGCGACGTGAGTACAGCCATGGGGCTGGGACACCGGGGTGGCACTGGGACACAGGGATCGGGCTGGGACACTGGGGTGGCACTGGGACATGGGGGTGAGGCTGGGACATGGGGATGGCACCAGGACACGGGGATATCAGCAGGACAGACGGATGTCTACAGGACACAGGGATGTCTGCAGGGTACAGGGCTGTCCCGAGGATACAGGGATATCACCAGGATGTCCCCAGGACACGGGGATGTCCCCAGGACACAGGGATGTCCCCAGGACACAGGGATGTCCCTAGGACACAGGGATGTCCCCAGGATGCAGGGCTGTCCCCAGGATACAGGGATGTGGCAGGGACACAGGGCTGTCCCCAGGACGCAGGGCTGTCCCCAGGACACAGGGATGTGGCAGGGACGTGGAGATGTCCCCAGGGCACAGGGCTGTCCCCAGGATGTGGGGCTGTCCCCAGGACACGGGGCTGTCCCCAGGGCACAGGGATGTGGCAGGGACACAGGGATGTGGCCGTGTCTCTGCAGTTCCTGCTGGACATTGCCCGGCAGAAGAACCAGACTCCGCTGCCGCTGATCAAGCCGTACTCGGGCCCGCGGCTGCCGCCCGACAGGTACTGCCTGACCGCCCCCAACTACCGCCTCAAATCCCTGCAGAAGAAGGTAAGGATTGCTCAGGGATTGGGGATTCACCCCTGGGGGGTTGGGAGCAGTGTTAAATTGCATTTTTCCACACCTCTGAAAGGTGTGTGGGAATTTTGGCGTCTGTGTGTCAGCTCGGAGATCTCCAGGCTGGATTTGCCAGTTGTTGTTGGTCGATTTTAAATGGAAATTTTAAAATATGGGAAAATTTAAAGTGTGGGAGTATTGCAGTGTTAAAGAAATACTGCAAAATCCCAGAACCACTGAAGCTGGAAAAGCCCTCCTGGATCATCAAATCCAACCTGTGCCTGATCCCCAGCAGAGCACTGAGTGCCACGTCCAGTCATTCCCTGGACACCTCCAGGGATGGGGACTCAAACGCCTCCCTGGGCAGCCCCTTCCAATGCCTGACCACCCTTTTCCAGGAAGAAATTCCTCCTGCTGTCCAGGGGGAACTGTCAGGTTTAATGTCAGGTTGTCAGAAGCA